GGAAGTGTAGATAAAGTGGATAAGTTTATTTGGCTTTCTACCACAAACCTCTTGAAGTATTATTTCAAGCTGACCCATGTTTACTGCTTGAGATGCCTACACCGTGAATTTTTTTTAAAACTATTTGGCACACCTCTCACAGCTTTCTGAAGAGGTGCGGTCATGCTTACAGAAGTATTAATTATCCCATCTGGTAAGCCATAAACATCAGACTTTTAGGAACACGTTTCCTCATAAACTTGCACCATTCTCCCGGGGAAGATCACTACAGCACTGCAACCATGGCTTTGTAGAGCTTTCTGATTTAAATATAACCACCTTCTCCCCTCTCTAGTTCAGTCATTACCAGCTGGAGCTTCTGAACCCTTGGTGTCCTTACGCTTCTAACTGATTTCTACATTTTGGCAAAGGTTCAGCAGTAATAATGGTTGTCGTAAAGGGCTTTTTATTCCACTGGGATTTGTTGAAACCCTTGGCAGTTTCCTTTTCCTCTGCTGTTGCAACAGTGTGGGTTTGGTCATAAATGACTCAGCGCAGTTTTGCATAGTGAAGCCAGGTGTGGACACCAGCTGTCTTGGTATTGGGGCGTAACTAAGGTGTCTTTTGGAGCTGAATATCATCCATCTTTTTCTCCTATGAAAATTTGATTGCAAGAACATAAAATTAATATCTTTATGCTATTTGTAGTGGAGCACAGGGCTTATTCTAGGTTCATAAATCTCCCCTTCTTGTTTGGTAAGGAAGACATTATTGTGAGTGTAGCTTTTCTTTAATTGCAGGAGGATACATACCATTACCCTACCTTCATGAACCCTGTTCTTGGATTAAAAATTCTTTGGGGAGCTTCATCTATTACAGATTAATGTCAAGGGAAAAACTTGGCAGAAAATACTGTGAAACCTGTTGTGTTCTATTTTTGTTTCAAGAGAATCAGAGCAGTGGCTGCCTTCTCAGAAAGTGTATTCTTTAGTTAATCTTAGTAGATAATGTTTCTTTATTTTTATTTAAGAGATGATGATGACCAATCGCGAATGAAGAGCAAGACTAGTTGACCTGTTACCTTCACTTGCAGAAAGATGCCTTGTAGTCTCATGTAGACTCCACTTCATTCATTTGAAAGTTTAGTCTTCATCCCAGTTACAGTTGATTCCATCAGACAACTACATTTTTATTATTACAGTATTTACTTTGGTTTTCTTTCTTTTTTTTTTTAAGGGCCAAATAAAAAAAAAAATCCAACTTTTTCCTTGACAATACCACTTTTCATAAGACTCCCCAAGAAGTAGAATAGCACGTGCTAATCTGCAATGACCTGAATAATTCAGTATTGGACCCTGTATTTCTTAAGAGCTCTGTGACTTTTGCAAGATCGGTGGGGATCTTACCAGTGTACAGAATATGTGAAGGGAAGGTGCAAAGAAGAGGGAGCCAGCCTCTTTTCTTTGGCATCCCGTGACAGGACAAGAAGAATGGGCACAAATTAAAACACATGAAATTCAATCTGAACAAAACCAGTTTCTGCTGTTCGGGTGGTTAAACACTGGAACATGTTGCCCAGAGAGGCTGTGGAGTCTCCATCCCTGGAGATACTCATGGACATGGTCTTGGGCAATCAACTCTTGACAGTGCCGATTGTACAGGGGGTTTGGACTGGGTGACCTCCTGAGGACCCTTCCAACCTCAACTGTTCTGTGATTCTGTGAAAACTCTCTCCAAGGTACATCTGCTCCATAGTATTTTCAGAATTGGTATAGCAAGAACAGCTGTTTCATGGAGTAATTCTGCCAAAAATGTGTGAAGTAATTCATGCTTCTCCTTTCCATTTCAAACAGAAAGAGCAGTCACATATATGACTTTTTTAAAAGAAGAGGCTTGACCAATTTTTGCAACAGCTTAAATGATTGCTGTTACCAAGGTTACTTGAAGGTATTCCTAATATACTGAAAACTCTGTGTGAATCAGTGAGGTACAATTTCAAAATAATGTAGCAAACAGTGTTAGTGCGTTGAGGAGTGAGGAGAGATCCACTACAGGACCTCTTCAAGATATGTTAAGTGCTGGTACAATTTTACAGTTTCTCGCTTTATTCATCCCACTCTTCTGGATTGTAATTTGAATTTGACACAGTCATTAAAACTTCTTCCAATCTACTTCCCTTTTGGTTTTAGGATGGGTTTCAAGGTGTGTTGTTTTGTGGTTCTTTTTTTTTTCCTTTAATCTACTTTCAGTACAAATTGGAAGCACAATCTGGTTTTACAATCGAGAGAGAACAAAGTAAATACACTGAGTAGCTAATATAAGTCACTTTTCCTTTTGTACAGTTATTTCATGTGTCAAAAGTTGCTGTGTAGCTGAAAGGTCAGATGATCCCTTCTTGCAGACACCATGATCCCTCTTCAGTACCTTCTTTTCTAATCATTTATGAGACCTTAAGTGCTGTTTCTTAGATGCCTATTGCTCCCTCACATCATCTGGATTCACAACTGTGTTTCTAGTGAAATGTGTGAATAGACATTGTCTGTGACTTCTGCCATAAAATTGCCCTTGCCTGTCTAATCTGGATTCTCTCTGGTGCTAAAGGCATTCTTTAAATATACTTGCACTGTGTGGGTTCCTGCTCTGAGCAGCCTTGGCAACTGAGCCAGTTTGATGAATTTTGGCTATATTAAAAATAAATCTACTCTTTGCTTCTTCTCAGAAAAGCTGTTAAAGGAATTTTTTTAGGAGGAAAGGGGTAAAGAAGGTAAACATGCTTTTAAAAAAGTCCTGTTTATATGAGAGAGGCATGAAAACAGCTTCTAGAAATGATGAGAGAGCAAGTTGCCCGTCGGTTTTCAGGAAGTTAATTTAAGTAATCAAAAAAACTTCCAAGGTTTTGTAAATTACTTTTATCCTGAATCAGGATGAAAATACTATTTGGGGGTGTGAAATCCCCTCATCTTTTAGGATTGGAAAGCTTTGAGAGTGATGGTCATCAAAGCTTTGAGAGCAGCACCATCTTGGCAGGAGCTGTGTGACTGATGATCTGGTGGGTGCCAGACAGAAAACGAGCAGAGAAAGGGCACGTTTTCCTGTCAGCTTTTTTTTCCTTTGAAAGTTGAGCAAAATGTATGGAATCCTGCAGACACCCTCTTTTTTTACCACCTGAACAAAACCAGCGTTTTCAGATATACCCAGAAAAACCTTCTGTGTCAGCTCTGAGAGGAACCCTTGGCTCTTAGGGTTTTAGATCCCCACGAATGCCAAGGTGTACAAAACGTGATCATTTGTTTTGTACAACTTGTTGGTCAAATTTGTTATCCAAGAAGCAACTGTCTGAACAAGTTGAAGGGTTTATTTCTTCTGCTGCTACTCTTTATGTAAAAGATTGCTTTGTGGGTAGGATTTTCATTTGTGTCATGCAACTCATATTTTAAATAGCAAAGAGATATCAAGTTCCATTCATAATACCTGATGATAGTTTCTCTGTTGCACAAATTACTCCAACAGCAATTATTTTGCTCTTTTACCCTTTACCTGACTTTTTAGAGTGCGTTTTTGTAATTTCCACTCTTCTAACAGTATGAAAATGTACACAGATATCTGATTTTGTAACCAGATATTTCTCCATCAACCAGTAAGGCAGAGTGCCTAACGTCATATTGTGGATCATTTGTTGCCTGGTGGTGACAGTGCAGTCTGAGATGAGGTGATAACATTATGCTAATCTGTATGGCGAGAGATTTATCACGGGGCCAGATTAACATGGCTACAGGTTTCCTATAGGAAGGTGAGCGTGAGCTCAGCACAGAGGAGCAACTCCTGCCTTCTGCCATCTCCTCTTCTCTCTGCAGAGCAAAAGGATGCCCAGCAACTGGGTGCAAGCAGAAAACAACAGGATTTCTTGAACATACTTTGCAATTTTTTAATGTAGCTAGAAGACAATGGCTCTCTCACACTTAGTGCTAACTGAACAGAAAGCACTGATGCCATATTGTCTGGCCTGTTCCCTCAAGGGATTTCTGAAATCCTTTCAAAATCTATCCACCCCTACAAAGAGATGTGCAGTTGTGTTATTTCTCATACAACTACTAATTTGCATCTAAAAATAACATTGTGCAGATTCTGGGAACGAGAAATACAACTTGGTGAAAGTAAAACAGGGGTGGTATGCCTTTTAGGTTAGATTTAAACTGAATCTGTCTTCCATGTGGACATACTGAGGTAGGGAAGCACCACCCAAACCCACACAGTTTTGTTTGTAGGCTGAGGGGGAGAACCTGTCTTGCTTGGCTCAGCAGTAACCGGCTGATCTTATAAGTTTGTTCCTGGCTTGTAAAATCAGTCTGTGCTACTGGTCTGATCCTTAATCAGCCATGTGCAGTGAACTGCAACCCCTGAATGTGTTTGGTGGTACTGTTTTATAACAATCTAGAGTGAACTCCCTATTGAAATACCAGTAAGTTTGAGAAAGATGCTTGAATTTTGTGAAAAATATAGAAGATAATTAATTTTTTGACACTGGACTTTGGAGCATGAACTGAATTGCCAGCAAGTGACTCCTGAAGTTGGAGCAAGGGCCACTAAGATGATGAAGGAACTGGCGTATCTGTCAGATGAGGAGAGGTTGCAAGAGCTGTCACTGTTCAGCCTGAAGCAGAGAGGGCTCAAGAGGGTCTCATCAATGTCTATAAATGCCTTGTGGTGGGAGGGAAGAGGAAACAACCAGGCTCTTCTCAGTGTTGCCTGCTGACTGGGCAAGTGGCAGAGGCACAGAGTAGAACACATTTTTTACTGTGAAGGGTGGTCAGAGACTGGAGCAGATTGCCCAGAGAGGGGACCTCCCTCTCCTGGGAGCAAAAGTTTTGTTGTTTTGCTCTCAAGCCTATATTAACTTCTTACTAGTTACACAGCTTGACTTCAGTTTTCTTAATGTTTGATAGGTTATACTTCAGTATTCATTACTGTATGAATATGAAGCGTATCTTCACAATTTACCTTCTTTTCTCTCTCCTGTCTAGGTTCTGGGAACGCCTACAAGGGAGCAAATTAGAGAAATGAATCCAAACTATACTGAATTCAAATTTCCTCAGATTAAGGCACATCCATGGACTAAGGTGAGTCTATATGATCTGATTAATAAAGGCATGGGCTCAAAGTGAAAATTCAAGGAGTTCAGTTTGGTCAGTGATTTGGTGGTTTTCAGTCTAAACTGGGTGCCTTTGAATAAGCTGGGGACCTGCAAACTTTAGATGTAGCTGGGGAGAAGAAGGTATTGAAGGAGTGCACTGTAATGTATATTGGTCTGGGGTTTTTGAGGTTGCCTATAGGTGGGTTATTTTTTGTTTTAACAATGGTGTCTGTGTGTTTATAGCAGATTGCAATATATCTACATCCTGTCATGGTATAAATTGATGTGCACAGAAGTCACACAGAAATGAGAAAATGTTCCAGTGATACATATGACACTTTTGTAATACTGTTACATATTGTGAAGAGGGCTGACAGTCACTTTTTTAACTCCTTCACTCATAGATAATATTCTATTTGTACTCCTGTAGGTTTGCTGTTGAGGGGGGGGGTTTCTTGGAGTTACTTCTTAAGGTTTCTTGTTACCTAGATTTCACAGGGAGACACCAGTGCAGTACGTGCAGACAATATTATAACCTCCACGATCAAAAAGGAAGCTGCTAGCATTGAAACAAATATATTGCTACACAATTAATCAGTCTTCCACATATCAAGGAATGATGAATATTTGACTTGGGACAGAGTAACAATCATTTAGTTAGCCTCTTGGGTGTGGAATAAATTAAATATTGTGTCTTAAACAATTGAAGCCTGGGTAGTTAATGTTTTATTTTTGCTACTTGAAGAATGTCTGATATAGTCACGGGGTATTTTCATCATATCTCAACACTCAGGTTTCCTTCTGCTAAGAAAGTAATATCTGTGCATGGAAGGATTGCATTCCTAGCTGAACACATGGTCAGGTCAGATTCTTTTGGACCAAATGCTCTGTTGTGGTAGAAATTCTGAATAAACTAATTAAAGCTAGTTGATAGGAGACCATGTAAATGATAGGTACATGTTAGGGCAGGTACTACATGTCAGTATTTTTGCAACAGATTCTCCAATGAGTCATGTACCACGTGAATTCTCCTTTTCCCCACTAATTCCTTGTTTACATTTCCATATCAGAGTTATTTTCTGTGTGTTGGTTAAGTAATGTGTAACAGCATGGGAGCTCAGTAGATCCAGCAAGGCTTTATGTTAACAAAGGAAAAAATTAAGACAGAAGTCTCTGGGAGCAGTCTCTTCAGTTTTGAATTGCATCATGATAAAAATCACAAAAATAAGTCCAAAAACCTTGTAGCACTGAATATTAGGGTTGCATCTGAATTCCTGCATTAAAGGTGTTTGGATTAGAGGGGATTAAATTAATATGCAGTGGAGTAGAAGTGCAGAGATGTACTGTAGAACACAGAGTTAAGCATCTGATCTGTGCAACTCATCTTATGCCTGAATAGTCTTAAGAATCATCTGTGTGCACTTGATGGTCTGTTAGACCACAGCAGAGATCTTTTGGCAAATGGAAGCTTCAAGAAAAGACTGAGACTTCGTTCTATTTATAAAGAATGCTTTTGGGTTGTTGTAAAGGATCATAAGTGAAATTAAGTCAATTACAAAGAATTGAGAGGAGCTTGCCAGAAGATCAAATCTGCATTCTCCATTAGTGCACAATTAGTTTTGAAGAGTTGTGCTTGCAGCGTAGCTTCTCATTCTCAAGTCATTCTGCACACAGCTCTTCCTGATGTCAGCTGGGTGTAGAATAGAATTTAAACCAGTTAATTACAATTGGGTTACATGATACTTCATTTATGAGATCTGTACTTATTATGCAAATGCTAAATTAACAAAATGGATTATCCAGCATGGTGTTGGTAATGATGCTTATCTTCTCAATGTATTACTTCTCAAGATCCTTCCCTTTCAACATTTTGAGCATGTTGAGATGTGAAAGATTTTAGCAGTAATATGTAGAATTGGTATTTCTTACCCAGTTGTATTGGGATAACATCTGATGACATGTTAGTGAGCATATGCAATCCTCTTGGAGGTTCTGTATCTTAGAATTGAAAGGTGTGTGAGGAAAAACTTCTTTAGAGCTCTGACTTTGAAAGAAAAGGAAGGACTGAAGAAGCGAAAGTGCAAATATTGTTACTGGTTGTTTGGTTTTGGGGTTTTTTTGTTACAACTATGTATGTAACTATAGTGCTACAGGTAGTTTACAACAGGACTTGGACTTTAGGTTGCCACTTCAAAGGCACAAATCCTTGCCATCTAAGCTAAAGAATTACTGAAGATTACACTAGATAGAAGGTCGTTATTTTTGTGGAGTAGTTATGACCAGAGGATTCAGCAGACAAAAGTTAATGTTTTTTGTGTGGAAAATCTTTCAGGCATCTAGTTTTCAGCATGTTTGAGAGAGAATTACTGAGAATATAGTAACTCCCAGCTATAAGCTCTTAGACACAAGAGCATTCTCCTTGTTGTTTTGTGGTGTTTAATATAATGTATGTTTGTCAAAGTTGAGGAGTTTGTAGGTCCTAGGAGTTAATTTCATGCAGTGGAGATGCCCAGTATGCAGTCTGTAACTGCTTGCTTCCAGGCCAGTAATCTATACAAAAGTAAGGTCTTTGGTTTGCTCTTGTTTTCAGGGAACTTTCTTGGTCTGCAAAAGTGTATGTAGAAGACAATTAAGAATTTTTTTTGGAAGCTGTAGTATCTATAAGTTGCATCTGAAATTCTGTGGTGCTGACTTCGGTTGGATGTATCTGGTTCTGGTTCTTTTAGATATTTCTGGCAGGCATAAGTATGTTACTTTCCTACTCAGTGTTGCTGTGGTGGTGTAATCTGCTACATTTGCTGTTATGTGCTAGGTGAAGGAGAATGGTGGCTGGTGCTGTAGTGCAATGAAATACATTCTGGGTTTTTCAAAGAGCCAGAGAAAGACTGGATACCGACAAGTCCATGAAGGAATATTGTTTTGCAGATTCAGTAAGTTTCAGGCTGAAATTGGAATTTTGAGCACAGGCTTTGTGGAAATTTGAAGTCTCCCTTCATAGATCCATCTTAGACTTTTTAGTAGAAATGAATTGGTATCATCCTAATACAGCATTGATAGACAGTGAGATGTAGTAGTGTGAAGAAAGAGATCTCAAATTAACAAGGTTAATCTTTAACCGTTTCTTCATAAATTATGAAAGAAGTCAAAAAAACTCTAAAAAATATTTTTCTGTGCTACAGCAATGAGTGTACAGTGCAGACTGTTTTCAGACTGGTTTTCAATCTGTTGACCATTTGAGATTGAAGTACTTTTATAACTTAAGAGCTGGAATCTCTTGTTATAAAACATACAGAGGCCTCTCTCTAATCTCCAATATGGTTCTGTGTTGCCCAAGCACCTGTGTGGTTTTATACCAGTTTATGTGCATGAGGCAGATGACGATGGGAGTTCAGCATGTCCCTGGCTAGCCAAAGAAGAGAGAATCCAAACTTTCCAGGAATCTTTCAAACCATTCTTCCAAAACAGGACTTCTCTGTTCTTCTCCTCTGGCACCCCAACCCTACAACCCCAGTCATAAAAGGAGGAATCCAGGACATTTTGGTTCTTTGGCCAGGAGGGTCCTCTTCAGAATACCAGTGTGTTGAATTTAGTAATGTAGCTATTCTTTTCACCCAAACCTCCCTTTGTTTTCACTTCACATTTTGTATTAATGGAGGTGCATCCTATGGCTTGACTGCCTTGGTCTGTGAAGTAAGTAGCATCATGTTATAAGAGAAGCAATTCAAGGATGTGAATAGCTTTTGACTGACTGATAACTGTCAGAAAAAAATAGATAGGCTTTTAGACACACAGTCATGTCTTCAAGTATATCTTGGGTCAGAAAACCTGCCCAGTTTTTCCAGTGTTACCAACTCATCAAATAAAAGTTACTATCCTTTCTGGAGATATTGTCGCTGTCATTTTTATTAGTCAGACTTTTGCTTGTGTCTTTCAGCCACCTAAACTCCTTGAGCCTTCTCTGTTCTTGGAAGTGCAGTCTGATCTGTGCTACTAATCTTTATACCTGTTTCGCTTCTTCCAACTAAGCTTCACCTATAGCATATAACTGTGTGACAGGAAGGCCAAGGAGAAAATCTGGGATCAAGTGCAAGGTTGTAAATCACAGGGCTGTTGAAGTTCAGCTTTGGCAGTGAGCTTTCTCTGAAGCTTCCAGCCCTTTTGGAGGGGGCAGAGACAGAGGGACAGCTGACAAAAGGTCTGAATGCAGGCTTCATAAGCTTGTGGTAGATGGGCGTTGCTTACCGTGGCCCCATTACAGCTGGCCTTTATCCTAGCATTACTCAGAAGCTACTTTCAGGTCTCAAATCCTTGGGGTGATGACAAACAAAGAATGTGCTGTGATTATTTCCAGAAATACGTAAAATGTTCGTCTGTGACAGCCTGGCTTTCCCCTTGCATCCAGCTAGTAAAGGATCTCATTTGACTAAGATCGTAGTAAATGTAATATACGTACTTAGTTAAAACCCCTTCTGCATGGGGGAAATTACTTGTTTGTATTTTTTCCCCCCACCTAAGGATACTGCCACATGTTTACCAGTATAATGGCAGTATAATGAAATATGTACATATATATATATATGCTGTAAGCCCATGGTTCATGATGGCAGAACAATACAACAGGTTGTAACAGCAAAGACAGTTTCCTTTGCTCAAATCTTAACCTCTGCCTTGTCTCCATTATATAGACATGGAAGCAGTTTCCACTGCAGGCAGCTCTTAAAAATGGACAGTGAGTTTCTTCAGTGTGCTGTGGTTTGGTGGCCTTTGTTTCTGATCTTCTGAAAATACTTGCAAGATGGTTCAAACATGCAGGCATTTTTTAAATATACTTCTGGTGAGATAAATTTGAGTGTACTAAAGAGAATGGCTTGATTTGCCATCCCCAAATCTATGGTAGCTGAATAGGTGTTGGAATAATAATTTTCAAGTCAGCACTGAGATGGAAAAAGACAAGAGTCATTTATCTGACAGTGGAAGAGAGAGGGA